TTGATGCCTTTGAGCTGTGGTGCTGGAGAAGAGTATTGAATGTACCATGGACTGCCAAGAAAACAAACAGATTCATCGTAGAGAGGGTTAAACCAGGCTGCTCCTTGGAGGCAAGGATTCTGGGGCTTCGTCTGACATACTTTGGACATGTTGTAAGGAGAGACAGGTCTTTAGAGAGGGACATCATGCTGGGTAGAGTAGAGGGACAGTGCAGGAGGGAAATACCCTCTATGAGGTGGATTGATTCAGTGGCTGGGGTAATCGGGATGGGTGTATCAGAGGCAATGAGATTGGCACAGGACAGAGCAGAGTTTAGGGCTGTTGTACATAGGGTCGCTATGAGTCGCAAATGACTCGACGGCACATAACAACAACAACATGGCCTATAGGCAACATCATGATAGATGGAGAAAAAGATTGAAACTGTCAATGAATTCATCTTACTCGGATCCACAATTCACAGCCTTGGTACCAGCAGTCAGGAGATCATGAAATACATTGCAGTGAAAGGTCTGCAGTCTGGGACCTCCAAATTACTGGGGAACAACAATGTCAGTGTGAGGATTAAGGTGCGCCTCATTCAGATTGTGGTGGTTTCAGTCACTTCCCCTGCATCTGCCCAATGTGTAGGATGACAGAAGAATTGATGCTATTGAGTTGTGAAGTTGGAGAAGAGTTCTGGAGTGTCAGAAGAACAAACATGTCCTGCAAAGATGGCACAGCTTCACCTCACTTACTTTTGGACATATTGTTAGGAGAAGCTATTCCTTGGAGAGGGACATCATGCTTGGAAAGGTGAAGGGTGAGCGAGGAAAAAAAAGAAGACTCTCAACCTGATGTTGACACTGACTGCTGCAGTGGCCTCAAGTATGTTAGAGATGTTGAGGATGGCTCAGGAAAGGACGGGCTTCACATCTGTCGCTCAGAGGGTCACTATGAGTTAACACTCAACTTGATGGCACCCGACAACAGCAGCTCCATTCGGCCAATCCAAGTGACACCTCCATCCCTTTTCAGGAATACACTTGAGAGTGTTTCCCTTCAGATATGTTAACTTTTAAAACCCAGCACACTATGAAAACAGGCCTACGAAAACCCTCTGTATAATAGAGCACACTTAGACTAGCAGACATGGCAACTGAGGCTGAGAAAGTTGGCACAGCATAGAGTAGGTTTCAGGGCTATTGTACATAGGGTCACTGTGAGTCACAAGTGACTTGATGGTACATAACAACAACAATGAATTAACATGATGTCCTTTCCTTACCTGTAGAGCCGTTAAAAGGACCCTGGTGTTCAAGGCATCATGGGCTAACAGTGCCCTGCCTCCCTTTGCAAACTATTTTCTCTGATCTCTCTCTGTTGTGTCGAAATGCATAAACTTCTATTTTGCAGAGTACACTGGGGACATTTTCTTGGTGACATCTAGGAGAGAGGTCCACTCTAGTATTATAAAAATATTTGAAATATTGATATGGTGAGGATTAAAAAAAAATATAGCACAGACTTGGAGCAAGCACATGCTGTTGGAAACATGGAGCTGTTAGACTTTCTTGAGCCAGGATTGCTACAAACCTTCAGCTTATAAGTATGTGTTAAGCACAATAAACTCAATGCAAAAGCATGAAGTATACCTCTATCTGAGTTTAACTCCTTCCACAGCACATTTTTGGTTCCTTAACAAAAAGTTGGAATTAAAAGTTGAGTAGACATTTATGTGAATTTTCAAGGAAAAGAAACTAAACCTTTAGATTTCCCTATATAACTCCTTATCCTCCCTTTTCAAACTTCCTGCCCGTCACTGAGTTGATGATCTTGTTCTGTTTTATTGAACGTATTTCTTTATCAGGTGTAACTATATCACCTCCCCATCCTCCAAAGTTATCTTTATCTGCCCTCATATTTCCATTTTTCTGACTGGACTCAAGCCAGATCTCTTCATCTGAGCCGGGGGGCCTTGTTGTAAATGTCTTTTTTAAAAAGATTTTTTTCAAGTACATTGTATTTTAGGAAACTTTATGTACATTGTATATTACATATCTTGTATATAATGAGGTGACACCTCCCCACCCCCGCCTTCCGCTCAGTTGATTCTTTTTACCTAAAAGTGTGGCCTAGTGGTTAGGAGTTGCACTGCCAACTCAGAGGCAGGAGGTTCGAATCCACCAGCAGCTCCGGAGGAGAAAGATGGGCAGTCTCCTCCTGTGCAGTTTACAGCCTCTTGAAACCAACTGGAGGGTCAGCTGTGAGTCATTTCCAACTTGAAGGCGCATGACGACACCTATAAACAAGCTCTAGTCTCTGGTAGCTCTGTTGTTAATGTGCCCTCATGTCGTCTGGGACAACAGCTCTGAACCCGGCCCTATCCTGAGCCAGTCTCAGTGTCTCCCACACACCTGTATGCCCAATGCCCCAGCTGCTCTGATAGACCTACAACAAAGCAAAGAAACAATCGCTTTGCATATATCTACTTACGGCTCAGTCCTCCTTCCCTTCTTATCCAGGTCTCTTAGAAGAATAGCACACGTGTGCTCAGATTCCCGTACCCCATGACTGCTTCCCTGTATTGGAATCTAGTTACCCTTCTCTTATGCCCTAGAAAGGCCTAGAATCCTAGAGGCCATTGGTCTTAAAATGGATAAATTATATTGATACTTTTCAGTCCTTAGTGTTTGGTCCTTTTTTATCTGCCCTTCTCTGGCTTCCATGACAGAACTGTGTCCTGCTTTTGGAACTTACTGCCTGTTCCTTCGTGGTCTTCGATGGGGAACTCTTTTCCGCCTGGTCCACATGAAGTCTTTTGTTGATGTTATTATGTGCTGCGAAGACTGAACCGACTCACAGCTGCCCCAGACTGCAGTCCTTGCCCTGCCTGGTCTACTCTACTAAAATGCTGTTCTTGGGGGGAGCTCACTTGTTGTCACTTTTCACTGTGATTTAGGTGAAAGTTTACAGAACCAAGTTTGTTTTCCATTCAGCCATTGGTGCATATCATGCCTTTTTGACAGTGATTATAGTCCCCACAATCTCATAGCAGTTTTCGCACTTTCTTGCTGTTTCCCATTTTTCTAAGTCCTTTGCTGCTTTCTAATCATTCTTCCAGGGCAAATGCTGGTCTTTGATCTTCCCTCATTAGTTCTAGGAGGTGTGTACCTCCTTGCTCACCCAGGTTGTTTTGCTTTGGGTGGGTTTTTTTTTCTGTATTTAACAAGAGTACAGCAGCTAGAGGAAATCTCTCAGCCATACCTGTCAATTTTACTTATTTGTATAAAAGGCTCCCATCTTCCTGAGGACCCAGCTCTGTAACTTAACCACTAAGGCCCTTGTGACTGGCCTTGGGTGTATCACCTCCCCCTAGCAGATGGATCTTGTGGGGTTTTTATTTTGATTTTTGTTTTCTTTTCACCTCTGTTTCTCCTCTATTGTTGAGGTAAATCCCAAGCAGAGCATTCATCTACACAAGGCCAAATGGGTAACATTGGCCCAAAACCCAAAGCTGGGAAGGCAGGAAGGGGCAGGAAAGAAGGATAATGGAATTGGGAAGCCCCCAGAGCACTGTTGCATTCAAGGTTGTAACTAATGCCATGTATAAACTTGAACGGAAAAAGCCATTTGCTCTGCAAATTTTACCTAATGTACATGAAAAAGAAAACTCTAAATATTTAGTAAATTGGAAGAATCATGTATCTAGCTCTCATATGTACTCGTTCGTTTGGTCTGATTTTTATTTATGTGTCTATTTTTGTTTTGTTAGACTGTTTAAAAGTAAGTAGCTCAGCATGCTTTTTCTAAAGACTAAAGTAAGAAAGGTAACAGTTCTCTATTCACATTGCCTCTTAAGGTTCTTTTTAATTCCCAAGATTCTGTTTGGAGAATCCTTCCTAGATTTCTCCTAAAACAGGGACAAGAGGCCTCTCCTCCATATTCCCTTTCAAGGAGGGAGGTCTGTCCCTTTGAGGATGTAATCTTCTAATAAATCTATCTTTATTCTGTTACTTTTAAAAAACACCTCCAAAATACAAGGACAATCAGCAGCACATAACAACAACAATAATAGCATCTCCAAAAAAACAACAACAGCAAACCAACCAGGAGTAAGAAGCAGTGACTTTCTGTGGTTAGGAACCTCTCTAAAGTACTCAAGAGCAATGGTGTCTCTCTGGAGACTAAGGTGCGCTGAAACAGGCCATGGTTTTTGCAATCACTTGTTATGCATCAGAGAATTGGACAATGACTAGGGGGGATAGAAGGAGAATTGATGCCTTTGAGCTGTGGTGCTGGGTAGTGAGTGTACCATGGACTGCCAAGAAAACAAACAGATTCATCCTAGAGAGGGTTAAACCAGGCTGCTCCTTGGAGGCAAGGATTCTGGGGCTTCGTCTGACATACTTTGGACATGTTGTAAGGAGAGACAGGTCTTTGGAGAGGGACATCATGCTGGGTGGAGTGGAGGGACAGCGCAGGAGGGGAAGACCCTCTATGAGGTGGATTGATTCAGTGACTGGGATAATCGGGATGGGTGTGTCAGAGGCAATGAGATTGGCACAGGATAGAGCAGGTTTTAGGGCTGTTACATATAGGGTCGCTATGAGTCGCAAATGACTCGACGGCACGTAACAACAACAACAACAATATATAAACCACTGTATGATAGGCCTTTATATTCTGTCTTATTTAATCTTTACTGCTTGGAAACTGAGCGTGGTTACCAGTTTTGCAAGGCTGCCTCGCTGTGGGTAGTAACCAGCAAACCCCCTGGGTTTGGGCCCCGTGGCCACCGCTGTTCTGGTCTCTTGGGCCCTTGTTTCTCGAGCACGGTGACCAGCTTCATAGATCTGAGCAGCTTTTCCCGATCGAGCCTCTCCTGACTTGGTGGCTGGCTGAATTGCCACATTCCTTTGGCTCAAGTGTGAGAAAGGCCAGTTTTCTCTCCATCGTCGTGTCTTCAGAGTCAGGCCCCTCTGGTCTCTCAGTACCGTTCTACTCTCCCTGTCATGCAGGAGCCGTGTGTGGGCTGAGCCCTGCCTGATTGACGCCGCCAAGAAGGAGTACAATGGGGTGATAGAAGAGTTTTTGGCCACAGGAGAGAAGCTTTTTGGACCCTACGTGTGGGGAAGGTATGGCATCACTTTGGCTTCAGTGGCTTTTGTTGAGCTTGTCTCTCTCTTCCAGTGTGGCCTCTCCTTTTCCTGTCTCCTAGAGCAACATCTACCTTATCCCAGAAGTGACAGAAGCAGAACTAGGAAGAAGGGATGCACCAGCCTCTTGTGCTGTTGATGAGGGAGTGTCTCTGGGATGGGGGCGGCTTCTGAGATGTTAAAAATGTGCTTCACAGTTTGAGACACAAAAAAAACACATCTTGGAGGAACTTTGCGGACCTGTCTTTCCTTGTGCTGGACATTCAGCTCATACTCCATGTTTTCCCATGCCATTTTAAATTTTTTATTATTTTGTGTGTGTGTATCGTCGAATCCGATCCGACTGGTACAGGAGGACATTGCCCCTCCTTCTCCAGCAGAGTATCTGGTGCATTCGAACTGCTTGCCTTTGGGTTCTGTGCCTTTTTTTGGACTGTAGTCTCTTTAGAGATGAGGGTCCTTTTCAGCCTGTGTGCCCTCAAATTGACCTGCCATGAGCTAAATGACATAGAGCCGCTCATCTGCTCACACCCTTCTTGAAGAGTGGCCTGTGAGTAAGCAGACCTCACCTGGAGAAGGAAGTCGCAGGCTGTTGGGGAAGCGTCTTGGGAGAAGGACCACATGGCCCCTGGGACTGAGTGGCTGCATCTCTCCGAGCCTGGAGGCGGGGGAAGTCACGGCTCAGGAGGTGAGGCGGGGGAGCTGGGGCCTGTCTGTGACCTCTTGTCTTCCCCACAGGTATGACGTGCTCTTTATGCCGCCCTCCTTTCCGTTTGGAGGCATGGAAAACCCTTGTCTGACCTTTGTCACCCCGTGCCTGCTAGCAGGGGACCGCTCTCTGGCTGATGTCATCATCCATGAGATCTCCCACAGCTGGTTTGGGAACCTGGTTACCAACGCCAACTGGGGCGAATTCTGGCTCAATGAAGGCTTCACCATGTATGCCCAGAGGAGGATCTCCACCATCCTCTTCGGTGAGTCTCTCCTCTCTCGGTGCACCCCCTCCTGCTCTGCAGCCCCTGCAGTGTTGCTTGGAGAGCTGGGGGCAGAGATGAGTATGAAGGGCAGAGGTAGTAGAACTGTCTGAGGTCATGTCGCCTCAGGTGGAAGGCTAAATCTAGACCAGAGCTATTTTAGGTACATAATTCTCACTTTGTTGCATATTCAGTACAATCAGGTAATGGTGAAGAACCTCAAAGTCACTGTCATTGAATCATTTGACTCCTAAATGACCGCACAGGATGGACAGGGTAGCATTGCCTGGTAGGATTTCCAGAGCTGTAGATCTCTGGGATCTGATGTAATATTTTTCAGTCAACACACTGTGCAACCAGAGTTTAATGGTGAGGAGAGGATCCCAAATAGTACCTTGAATGAATGAACTCATGGGTGAACCCAAACTCCCTGTAGTCCCTCTTTGCCTCCTGTACTCCCTTTACGCTCCCCACACTCCCTCCAACCTCCCACCCTCACCTTCTGCAGCCACCTGATGCTCTGTTCTCTCAAAGTAAGCATAAGGGGGGCAGGGAGTTATTCAGGGTCATACACTCAGAGCACTGGTTAAGTTTAAAAATGAATCAAAACGTCCTTCTGGTATTCCTGTTGAATACCAGATTTCTGCTAGGCACTTTAATAAAAAAGTATGTGTTTCAACAATTTCACAGTAATCCTATAAAACAGATACTGTTATTTCTATTGTGTATATGAGAAAGCTACAACTCAAAATGGATAAGAAATGAGCTGAGCAACTTAACTAAGGTTATGGAGAGTTAAGGTATCTGCTTCACTTTACTCAGAGTCCCATTTATTTAATCTTTCTTATTTAGAGAATATTAGTTTCTGTAATTAAACCCATGTAGATAAGACTGTACGTATTTAATACAGTGCATTATCCCTGTACAAATGGAAGAAATAATTAAGTTTAACATTTCTAGACCAATATGGCTGTTAATTGTCCCATTTATTTTATAGATAGGACATTTGTTTAATATGTATTTGTCATATATGAAAAAAACGCAAGGAAAAAAAATCGACCAGTAATTCAGAGAACAGAGAATAGGTTTCCCTGGTATTCAAAAGATAGCATTCCTGTGAAACCTTCTGTAAGCTGAAACAGTGTAAAGTAAAGAATCTATATCTATTCATTTGTGTGGAAAACATTTTGAGCATGCTCAAGCCACAGAAATTACCAAATTACACATAAAATCTCAAAAAAGATAATGTCAAGTTGAACAGAGGATTCTTTGGCAAAAGGAACATGCTTTTTCTCTGAGTACTGGTTTGATAGAGATGGGCAAATCAGAAACTGGCTATTTCTAAAAGGGAGATCTTAGGGTAGGAGGCATGTTACTAAGATGATCAAAAGGGGGCAAGACCTCCACAATATACATGAACAAAATATAGTGTAAATGAAACTACTTAAATAAATGAATTTTTTTTTAAATTAGCAGAATGTCACAGAGTTTAGAGCTATGACAGCTGGAAGCCGAGTGTACATTCTGGGGAAGGAGCTCAGGGACATTACTGAGGGTGCACGCTGCCTCTTCAGCGGCTCACTGCTCCCTGGAAAACAAACACTGAAGCTTCCCTTTTTGCCTCTTTTTGTAGAATTAAAGAGCACTGTGCGTTTCTTTCGGTTGGTGGAAACAAGTAGTAATAGGGTTCTTTTGAAAAAGTAACAGAAGTAAACTTTTTGAAAAGTGGGGCCACTTGTGTATATCCTTTGTCTCTGAATGATCAGACCATACCTGGATTTACAACCAGGTTTCTGTTCACTTAATAAAGTTGAACATTTTTCCAAGTTACTAAATTTTTCTTTAAAGACTTACTGCGTAATAGGATTTTTTAAATATCATTCTCAGACCAACCTCCACTTGTTGCTTTATTCTGTCAAGTTGGAACTGACATGTAGCTGACCTTCCAGCGAATTTTCTAAGGCTTTAGATCACATGGGAAGGGATTGCCCATCTTTCTACCTTGTAGTAGCAGCTGGTGGATTCAAACCATGTGCCTTAGGGTTGACAATGTAACTTCTTACCTCTGGGCACCAGAGCTCAGTCTCCAGTTCCATAAGCTGTTGCCAGTTTTTTGTTGAAAAATTTTGATGAACATTCTTACAAAAAGAGCTTAATATGTGTCTCACCTTTTTTCAGTTCAATAATCACTTGCTAGCAAAATAATTTCAGTGTCTGAACATTTTGAAGATTTTTTTAGTATGTGCAGTTGCATTGCCTCCCAGATTGTATATATACAAATTTACATTTTCATCCAAAGTGCCTACAGCAGGAGTCTACTTCTGAAAAGGTTTTGAATTAAGCACAAGAATCTTATGGAGCAAAATATTATTATCCCATTGAGCAGATGAAGAAACTGAGGCTGAAAGAGGTTAAGACCAGAGTTAGTTAAGCTCAGAGTTAGGCCATATAGTAAGTTGTAACCCTGATTGATTGAAAAACCAAGTCATCTTCCTTATTACTAGGACCAGAAGGAGCTTTAGGGAGTGTTGGACACATTCTGTGCCACTTTTTCATTTCTTAAAGCAGCAGACAGTTAGATGTTCATAAACAATCAAATTATCTCCTCTATGAATGAAACTACATTGACAAAGCAAAGTTAAGTGCCAGAGGACCAGGTGTAAACTCTTCCTCCCCCCGTCATTCGTGGCGCTGACTGAGGGTCTGCACACACCAGTCCTTTGCAGCCACAGGTTGCTAGGAGCGCAGTTGGAGACCCATGGGGCCACCGTCATAACGTGTCCTGCTGCTGACCAAAAGGCTGCACGTTCCTGGTGGTTCAGATCTACCGGCGTCTCTACAGAAGGATGATACACCACACTTCAGAGCCTTGGAAACCCAAGGAGGAGATGTTTATACCTGAAGGTGAACCTCAGATAGCCATTGTTCTCTAACCACCAGAGGGCACATGTCTGTGTGATGTCTGCGACTGAGTCCAGGGACTCACAACTTGTATTTGCTTCAGGGGCTGCTTATACTTGCTTGGAGGCTGCTACCGGAAGGGCACTGCTTCGGCAGCACATGGACATCACGGGCGAGGATCACCCCCTCAACAAGCTCCGAGTGAAGATTGAGCCAGGTAGTCTGCCCAGCATCTGTCTCATCTCCAGATGGAGAGGCAGAGAGCCCCGAGCTGCTTAGGCTTCCTGTTGACCAGTGCACACTACCTTCTTTGGTTGTGAGCTCTTTTCAGCCTCTCAGCAGGTTGGGGTCTGGCTGTTTCAGCAGTATAGGAGTTCTGTGCAGTTCTGAATCCTCACCTTGGCTTTATATTCAACAGGTCCATATAATTTATAAGGCATACTTTTTTTTTTATAATCAAGTCAGACCTGTTACTTGTTAGAACAATTGTTAGCCTAATGTGACTGAGGACAATTTAATTGGCTTGTCCAAGGTCATAACACAAGCGCACAGCCAGAACTCGGCTTCAGAGCCTCCATCTCCACATTCAGAGCTTTTTTTAATTTTCTCACCTACTTTGGATTGAATGAATGCAATTAAAGCTAGTGTTCCTCGGTTGTGAAGTTGAACTTTTTGCAGACTGGCAGTTAGTTTGTTTTAGTCTAGACCAGTCACGGAAATAGCATGTTGTTGTTCTGGGGTGGGGCGGTCAGATAGGAAATGGTCAGTGATTGGATCAGACAAGGCACCCTTTGCTCAGGCTGGAGAACTAATGGAGCCCCGCCTGAGCTGAGGGGATCCCAGGAATAAGGAAACATACCAGCTCCTCTGTACTCTTACTGAGTGCGTAGCTGATGACTATAAGATCGTCTTTGAAGTACCTTGGGAGAGGTGGAAATGGATCGGTCTGGATGCATTTTTGGCCTTGCCATTTCTGAAGAAGCAGAATTCTGATCTCTATGGAGGGTCTCTGAGTCTGGCCCTGGAGAAGGACAGGAAAGGTTTGGCCACATCCTGGCAATCAGTGGGGTGACAGATGGCACCCTCACCTCTGAGACTTGGCTACAAACGCTCAACTCTTGTTCGCTTTCTCCTCCTCCAGGTGTTGACCCAGATGACACGTACAACGAAACCCCCTATGAGAAAGGCTTCTGTTTCGTCTCCTACCTGGCCCACTTGGTGGGCGATCAGGATCGGTTTGACAATTTTCTCAAGGTATAGTCAACCTGTCAAATGAGGGGCAAAGGAAATGAAACAGATAAAGCAGCTGGGCTAGTGTGCCAGGGTAGAGGCAGGGGGCACATGAAGTGAGGGGTCGGAGGAGGGCCTATAAAATAGAGGCGGTCCACTCCCCGAGGGGTCCAGGGTGGCTCTGACAAGCACCTCCCTTCTCCCAGGCCTATGTTGATGAGTTTAAATTCCAAAGTATCTTAGCTGACGACTTTCTGGAATTCTACTTGGACTATTTCCCTGAGCTGAAGGAAAACAAAGTGGACTGCCTTCCAGGTAAGCAGCAGAACTCACCCACAGTTCGCAGGACACTTCCAGGATGCAGCAAGGAGTCATACCCAGTTTACATTCAAAAAGACTAAGGTGGGGTCGGGAGCCCCAGTGGCTGAGCGGTGAGGCGCTCCCCTGCCAGCAGAATTTGAATCCAGCAGTTGCTCCATGGGAAAACGATGGAGATGGGAGAAAGAACATCATTTCCTCCCATGAGATTTAACAGCCTCTGAAAACCCGCTGGAGGGTCAGGTGTGAGTCAGTTCTGACTTGCCGGGACATAAACAAAAACAACAACAAGGTAGAGAAGGAAAATACTGCACCCAAATCATCTAGAAAGTGGTGTTTTTGAGAGCACACCACAGGAGCCCAGGCATGATGTCATAAAAATGGTTTCCAGTGACTCTTCTCTGCCTCAGTTTTCCCCATTCCTTTCTATTTTCTGTCCCTTATTTTTTTTTTTTTTGCACCTGAACACACATCATCAGATCTTTAGTCTCTGCCCAGAGAGGAGCTGCTGATGCCATGCTGAAGCTCGCAGGGCAGCGGCCTGGCTGAGGGTCAGGAAATCCCAACCGTGCCTCAAGTCCACCCCAGTGGCCGTGCTGACAGGGACTGGGAGGCCCTGCCTCCTGAGAGTGGAGATCAGCTTGTCATGGCTGAGCCCGTCCCTTAGACGTGCCCCGCATGGTGTTTCCTGCCCTGAGTCACTCTGGGATTGTGGTGATGAAGTCAGCTACCCCCTGGCAGCTGTGCTTGGTCTGACTTGAAGCAGCACTTACACTCGGGCCGAAGCCTGCGTGTCACAAGTGAATGACATGATTGTCATAGGAATGCTTGTTGTGACAAGGCAGCATAATCCTCATGATAGCCAAGAAAGATCAGGCCCTCCTCATTTACAGATAGTGGCCCAGAGAGGTACAGTTAGTCACCTGCCCGTGGTCTCCCGGCTAGTTAATAACGGAGCTGAGCTAGGAGCCCAGTAAGGCTAGGAAACCATCTGTCAACTTGGTTCTAAAAATACAATGTTCATTTGGAACAAAAAACCCCCAAATAAGCAAAAAAACCAAACAACCCCCCAAAACACAACAAAACAACAACAACCTAACAAGCCCCATAAGCCCCTTTTCCCCTCTACTGTAGAGCAAGTCCAGTCTTCTTGGGAGCTCGCTGAAACAAGTAGTGTTAAAGTGGAGAAAGAGTGGGATGGAGAGAGCAGAAGGAATATCAAGGTATCTGAGTTGTTCAGGCAAGTTGCTGTCCTCTGCTCCTGCCACAGACGTCTTCTACTACTTCTCCTGCCCTGTGTCGTCTTCTACTACTAACCAGGTTTCGAGTTTGACCGATGGCTGAATACTCCTGGCTGGCCCCCCTACCTCCCTGATCTCTCTCCTGGGGACTCACTCATGAAGCCCGCCGAGGAGCTGGCCCAGCTCTGGGTGACTGAGGAACCAGACATGAAGGCCATTGACGCCGTGGTTATTTCTGCCTGGAAGACCTACCAGCTGGTCTACTTCCTAGATAAGATCCTCCAGAAGTCCCCTCTCCCTCCTGGTGAGTAAACCCCGGCTATTTGTTTCAGCTTCGTGAATTGAGGCATGTTATGTGGAGCCAGTCCTTGGAGAAGGACATGATGTGTGGAGGGGGAGGGTCAGCGGAGGAGGATATACCCTGAATCCTCAAGAGGTGAATTGACACAGTGACAAAGGGCTCCAGTACATCCGCGATGATGAGGATGGCTCAGGACAGGGCAGGGTTCAGATCTGTTCGTAGGGTTGCTACGAGTTGTAGATGACACAGGAAGAACTGTTTGTATTGGGCCAGAGAGAGAGACTCAGAAATGTTGTGAGGGTTGCCTTGGGCAACTGCCAGATGCCATCAGGGGGCTGGTAGGTGAACACAGCACTTCTGCAAGGAGTATGGCAGTAGAGTAAAAAAGGCATTGCTGTGGAGTCAGAGAGCTCTGGTGGCCTAGTGGCAAGAAGCTGTGCTGTAATCCTGATGGCATGTGGTTCAAGGCCACCAGTCGCTCTGCGGAAAAGGGATGAGCAGTCTTCTCCTGTGTGATTAACTACCTCTGAAAACCTGCTGGAGGGACAGCTGTGGGTCATTTCTGACTCGATGGTATACAACAGCATCATGGAGTCAGAACCAACCCATAGCGGACTCTTGCAGGTTTTCAAAGGCTATAAAGCCTGATGGATTCAAACCATCTACCTTTGGGTTGGTAGCACAACTTGTTAGCCCCAGACCATCAATAACCCCTGTGGCAATAGGAGAATACGCTTTTGCAGGGAATCTCAGGTTTGGTCAGATTGCCACAATAAGTCAAACAACACATTAAAGCAAGTTAAGGCATTATTTTGGTTTTCCTGGATTTAGAAGAGGTTGTGGTACTAGGGATATTATAGCTAATGTTAGATGGGTCTTGGCAGAGAGCAGAGAATACCAGAAGAATGTCTATCTGTGTTTCATTGATTATGCAAAGGCATTTGACTGTGTGGATATTAACAAGCTGTGGCTGACTCTGAGAAGACTGGGAATCCCAGAACATTTGATTGTGCTAATGCGAAACCTATACTTGGACCAAGAGGCAGTCGTCAGAACAGAGCAAGGAGACACTACATGGTTCAAAATCAAGAAGGGGGTCCGTTAGGGATGTATTCTGTCTCCATACCTTTTCAATCTGTATGCAGAACAGGTCATCCGAGATGCTGGGCTGTACGAAGAGGAATGTGGCATCGCGAGTCATCAACAACCTGCATTATGCAGATGACACAACCCTGCTTGCTGAAACTGAGGAGGACCTGAAGCGCTTGCTGCAGAAGGTCAAGGACTGCAGCCTCCTATATGGACTGAAGCTCAGCATCAAGAAAACAAAGATTCTCACCACTGGACCAATTGGCAGCATCAGTATGGATGGTGAAGAGATTGAGATAGTTAACAGTTTTAGTTTACTTGGTTCCACACTCAACACTCTTGGTAACAGCAACCAGGAAATCAAGAGATGAATTGGATTGGGAAAGTCAGCTGTGAGGGACCTCTCAAGAGTATTGAAGAGCAACGACGTCAGGCTGGAGACTAAGGTGCGCCTGATCTGGGCTCTACTCTTTGAAATTACGTGCGATGCATCAGAGAGTTGGACAGTGAATAGAGTTGATAGAAAGAGAATTGATGCCTTTGAGCTGTGGTGCTGGAGAATAGTGTTGACTATACCATGGACTGCTAGGAGAACAAACAGGTTTGTCCTGGAGAAGGTGAAGCCAGAATGCTCCTTGGAGTTAAGGATTCTGAAGCTTCGTCTGACATACTTTGGGCACGTTGCAAGGAGGGACTGGTCCTTGGAGAGGGACATCATGTTTGGCACAGTGGAGGGGCGGCAAAGGAGAGGAAGACCTTCGATGAGATGGATCGATTCTGTGGCTGGAGTGGTGGGAATAAGTGTGTTTGAGATGGCTAGGTTGGCAGAGGATAGAACAGCATTTAGAGCTCTTGTACATAGGGACGCTATGAGTTGCAAACGACTCAATGGCACATAAAAACAAAACAACAAAGTGCATATAAATGCTAGATTCACTCTATATTATAGTCTGTTAGAAGGAGCTCTCTAGTGTGTTGTGCCTCATGTCTCCTGAAGTTTGAAGCCACCAGCTGCTATGAGGGAGAATGATGGGCATTTTCCTCCCTTAAAAAAATTAATTGAGGGTCTCTGTGATTCAGCACTGACTTGAGGGCCAAAGTAGAGAATGCTAGAAGGATGTTTATCTGTGTCTAATTGACTGTTCAATGACATTTGACTATGTGGATCACAAAAATTATGGCTAAAAATGATAATCTCAGAGCACTTTGTTGTTTTCATGCAAAACCTATACCTAGACCAAGAAGGTGTGTCTGAACAGAGCAAGGGGACACTGCATTGTTTAAAATAAGGCAGGGTGTGCATTAAGGTAATATCCTTTCTCCATACCCTTTCAATACGTGTGTAGAGCAAATCATTCGAGTAGCTGGAGGGTATGAAGAAGACAGTGGCATCAGGATCAGAGGAAAACTCATCAACAACCTGTGTTATGCAGGTGGCACAGACTTGCTTACTAAAACTGAGGAAGACTTGAAGTGCTTGCTGCATAAGATCAAGGACTGTAGCCTTTAATGGATTCCATTTCAACATCAAGAAAACATCACCGGGCCAGTAAGAACATCATGATACATGGAGAAAAGTGCTCAATAATTTTGTCTTAATTGGATCCACAGTCAACATCCTTGAATGGTTAGGGTTAGGATTAGCAGTTTATTAGCAGTCAAGAAATTTAAAGACCAGTTGCATTGGGAAAGTCTGCTATCTGAGACTTCTCCAGAGTTCTAAAGAACAATGATGTCGATTTTAAACAGTAAGACATGCCTGATCCACGCCTGTGCGTCTGAAGGTTGGACAGTGGCTAAGGATGACAGAAGAATCTACGCCTTTGTATTGTGGTGCTGGAGAAGAGTACTGACCCTCCCATGGACTGGCAAGAGAACAAACGCATTTGTCCTGGAGAAAGTGAAACCAGGAGGCTAGGATGGGGAAACTCTTTCGTCACGTACTTTGAGCATGTTGTAAGGAGGGGCCAGTCCTTGGAGAAGAACATCATGCTGGGAAAGGTCAGCGTAAGAGAGGGTTGACACAGTAACAAGGAACTCAGGGGTGTCTGAGTATGTGAGGTAAGGTAGGGCAGGGTCTGGAACCGTTGTTCTTAGGTTCTCAATGAGTTAGAGTTAACTTGACAGCATATAGCAGCAGCATCATGAATATGTTGTAAGAACCGCCAGCAAGTGACACAGAGACAAAGTAAGCATGTGCTGTTAGAAAAAAAATGGAGCAGATAGATTTGCTCAACGAAGGGTTTTCATAAATGTGCCTCAATTAGTAAAAGAAAACACAACAATACCTGGGAAGTACATAATGTTCTATGTGCTGTTGGAGCTGATCTCGCTCATGGCTGACACTCCAGCTGCTTTTCAGAGCCAGTTAATCACATGGGAGGAGGGTGTACGTCTTTCTCCCATGCAGCTCCTTAGCACTGGGCTGCCAGAGTTCCCTACAGTGACGTCTCCTGCAGTTGAAGGAGGTTTGCTTAGAGGGTAAGTTCTTAGGGAAGGAAAGAGTAAAGGTAAGCATTTAACTCCTTAGTTTATCTGAGAAACTCTTCTAAGTACTTCACACCTGTCAAGTCATGTAGCCCTTATCACTGCTCTAAACTAGTAGATAGAGAAATAGATATGCAGCTGCTGGGGAGTGGACTCCTGGTGACCGTAGGTTCAACAGGACAAAGGATAAGATGGCCCTGCGTCATCCTCTTCGCTGGCATACTCTCTCCCTTCATGCCAGTCCATCTCATCAAGGGCCTCCTTCTCCCTCACCTTCACTGACCGTTTCACCAAACATGATGTCCTCCTCCATAGTGACTCCTTCTGATGACGTGATCCAAGCAAGCAAGCCTGACAGTGGTCTGTTGTAATCACTAAGGTTTTTCAGAAAGAAATAGCTAGGCTTTTTCTTCCACGTCTTCATTTGTTTTTTTAAAAAAATTATTTTTGGTGTGTGTACCGTCAAATTGGATCTGACTGGTACACGAGTAGATTGCCCTTCCTTCTCCAGCAGAGCATCTGGTGGATACAAACCACGTACCTCTGGGGCTGCAGTGCAGCTTCTTGCCACTTGGCCACCAAAGCTCCCTTCTCTACTTCATTTGTAAGCTCTACTAAAAGCCTGCCCACCAGTGGGTGCCCTTGCTCGTGTTTGAAAAGTTGATGGCAGAGCCCCGGCAGCATGGCAACATGGAAGCCACCCCCGTACAACACCCTAAGAGGTGGGTGGTGGGGGAAGCAGATGGTATCATGATAATTCCCAGGTAACAACAGAGGCACAAGTACATCGTGTAAGTAGTGGGTCTGGGCTTTGAATGCACTCAGCCTAAGCTTTGTGTTCTTAAAAACTCTGCCATTGCTCAGTCAGCAATACGAATCACCAAATGATGCACACCCATGTTTATCACCACTTTGTTAACAATCGGAGTTGGAAACAACTTAAGTGCCCATCAACAAATGAATGGATGGAGAAGTTGTGGTATATTCACACAATGGAATACTACAGTGCATTGAAAAACAAGGAACTCATGAAATACTATTCAGAATGGGCGACTCTGGAGGATATTATGCTGAGTAAAACAGCACTGACCTCGGGGTTGGGGAGAGACTGAGAAAGATGGGTTCAATAATGTACACTGCATTGAAACAGATGAGGGAGAAAACTGTTTAATAGGGATATGTGATTAGGTATTTTTGTCATGACAGGAGTTTACAGTGAAGGCTACGTGATGGAGTGGACCTGGAGAGGGGAGGGTTTGTAAAACAATGAAAGAATTTTTCTTTTACTTTTCCAGGAGGGTAGTGTACTGGGGGGAGGGTTGGGAGGGGAGAAAAGTACAACAATGAATGAATGGAAATCCAAAGTCTCTGTAAATTTTCATGGGAATTAATAATTTTTTTTTTTAAAAAAAGAATCACCAAATGGTAATTTTTACAAAAGAAATAAAAGCAGAGTTGACTTCTGGGAAATATGTGGCAAAAGATAAAGTAGGGCAGGCTTTTTTAGGGGGAGATGTGTGCTTTAATCTGAGAAGGTTGACAATAAGAAAAAGATCTAAAGGTTTGTTAGAACAGGAGAATTGCGACTTCAGAACGTGAAATGAATAATACAAATGGTGAAAGGGCCATCGGGAACCTCGTTGAAGTGGACCCCCAGTGCCCCCAGTACACTTGGAGGACCTGAGGGTGGACACTCAGTGTCCTGAGAACGGGTTCCCCTGCTCCTGGAGTGAGGCCTCTAACACTTTGGCTTTACTGGCAGAGTTACGAACCGCCCTTTTCTTTCTCTTTCATAGGGAATGTGAAAAAACTTGGAGAGGCATACCCCAACATCTCAGATGCCCGCAATGCAGAGCTGAGGCTGCGATGGGGTCAAATTGTCCTTAAGAATGACCACCAGGAGGATTTCTGGAAAGTGAAAGAGTTCCTGCAGAGCCAGGTGGGTGACCCTCATCTGCATTCATCCCTGGGGCACAGAGTGGGCCTCTCAGGAGGACTTCCCCAGACAGCACCTCATCAGAGCCCCAGGGTGTGACCTTTTCAGGAGTTGCAGGGGTGGGTGGCTTCCTGGAGGGCCCTGAGATTAAGCGAGCTTGCTTGTGGAGGAAGGAAAGCCTGTGGGCTTGGAGAGCTTTTTGTCTTTAGGTTTTAGGAAAATATACACAACAGAACGTACACCATTGCTCTGTTCACATTGTGCTGCTGGTCTCACTGTCCTTTTGCCAATCATCCCATTGCCATTAATGTAAAACAAACCACCTTTGGTTTCTGTAGATTTGCTTATTTCATATAAATATGAAATAAGAAATTGCACAATAGCAGGTCCTTCTTTGACTGTCTCTTTTGCTTAGCATACTGTTTTCAAGTTCCCTTCAAGATGTGGCCATAACTCAGAACTTCGTTTTTCTTTATGCCTGGCTGAACAGTATTCTGTGGTGTGTCTAGGAGCTGCGTGTTGGCTGGTGAGGCCCGAGGATTAAATGGTTCCCTAAACTATGGGGTTCCAGGTGGCAGAGTGGGTAAAGAATTAAGCTGCCAGGCAGAAGGTTGGTGGTTTGAACACACCAGCTGCTCCCTGGGAAAAATGTGAGCAGTCTGCTTCCACAGAGATTTAATCCTTGGAAACACGATGAGCAGCTACACCCTGTTCTGTGCAGTTACTATGTGATGGCAGTGGGTCAACCCTAAACGGAAAAGTGTCATGGGACACTAGGGGGATGGGAAGGAGAGTGCTATTCAAGAGGGAAGGAGGTCATAAGACAAGAGAGATTAGTGAAGGATAAAAGTTATTGGTCTCAGCTCCCTGGGCAAGCCCTGTGACTTGGGGAAAAATTCAGACACCAGCAGGATTGGACCTCACCCTGTCAGTGTTGCCTGTCGGGGGAAAGGCCTGGGGACTGCTGCAGTGAACTCATCAGATTCCAAAGCAGTGAGGGAGTGGGGCTGGAGAGAAAGCTGTGCTTTTGACCAGCGTCCTCACTGAGGCCCTCTGAAAGCCTCAGCCTCTGAAAACCTCAGGGTTTTGGGAACTTGTGGTGTTGCTGGCTTAGGCTATATGGATTGAGTTTACAGATCTAATTCAGGTTTACTGCAGTTGGACATTATACGTCCCTTAGCTTTAGATAGTGTGCAGCCCTTGCTATCTGCTGGTATCAGGTTCACCAGCAACTTTGTGAAAGTTTGGAGCCCTGTTATGTCAGTCCTCCTCGTCGTTTGTTGGGTGTACACCTCTATGCCAGGGATTGGGATTAACATTGGGCTCTTTCTTTGTGGGTCTTTGGCCCTTAAGTTGTTGTTGTTGTGTGTCATCGAGTCAGAACCAATTCATCGCTGACCCTCCATTGGGTTTTTAGCGGCTGTAAACTGCATGGGAGGAGATTTCCCATCCTTCTCCCACAGAGCAGCTGGTGGATTCGAACCTCTTGCCTTTGGGTAATCCCTCTGGCCCCTCAGAGGATGCTAGAGTTGTCACTATTATCTCGGGGAAGCCCCGTTCTGCAGCACTGATACCTTCAGTGTTTCCTTTTTGGCACCTGACCATGATGCTATTGCAGTCGTGCCAGGGGACGGGTGGCCCGACACTGAGCAGGCAGCTCATTCTGTTCTTGTGTTTCGTGCAGGGCAAACAGAAGTACACCCTTCCACTCTACCACGCGATGGTGGGCGGCAGCCAGGTCGCCCAGGAGCTCGCCAAGGAGACCTTCGCCTTGACGGCCAACCAGCTCCACAGCAATGTGGTCAACTACATCCAGCAGATCCTGGCATCCAAGGGCAGTTAGAAGCTCAGAGCGTGCCCCTGACCTCTTCAGTCTTCCTTTCAGACGATTGCTTTGTTCCTAACTTAAAGTTCTCCAGCTTCCTGAAGTTTGTATCTCCTCAGGATAATCTCTTCTCAGAGTTTAGGGCTGTTCCCTGAGACCCACGAATGCCCTACAGTTGGTGAGCAGGCTGCTGGGCGGTGGGACAGCCCATCTTCTCCAGCCTCCTCACCTCCTGTCTGCAGAGAGGGTTTTATGATTTCTTTTTAATTTTTTTTTCCTCTTTGTTTTTTTTGATTCTTCGTGAACTCTCCAAAAAGCCGGCATTCTGGTAATTCTTTTTTAGGCTTGACGTTGATTTTAATAAATGTTTTTGGGTGGAAGGTTACAGATTGATTGACCGTTCTGGATTCATTCCTATGTGTTCTCTCTCTGTCCAGCTGTTGTGAGCTCACTGGAGGAGACCGAGAGGGTGACAGTGTTCCACAAATGCTTATAAAAACATGGGGAAATAAACAATTTGACTGTTGCAGGGAGAGTGTACAAAAGATAGCACTCTGTTCTTTGTGAGAGCTGCTCAGTTGTCTCTGTCTCTAGCATTGTCATCCTATCATCTTTTCCACTGCTGAGAGCTTCACAGTGAATAAGGATAACAGAGGTAAAAATCGATGCCTTTCAACTGTGCTGTTGGAGAAGAGTACTGAATAGTCCATGGGTTTCCAAAAGAACAAACAGATATGTCTTGGAGAAGGTATAGTCAGCGTGCTTCTTGGAGGCAAGGATGACAAAGTTTCATCTCACAAACTTTGGGCATGTTGCTGCTGTTATGTGCCGTCGAGTTGCTTGTGACTCATAACAACCCTGTGTACAGCAGCCCTGAACCCCATTCTATTTGAGCCAAGTTCTTTATCTCTGACACACCTCCCTCCATTACCCCGGTCACTGAGTCAGTCCATCTCATCCAGGGTCTTCCTCTCTTTTATGCCCTCCCTCTGCCCCTCCAAGCATGTGTCCCCCTTCAAGGACTGGTCCCTCCTGGCAACATGCTTAAAGTATGTGAGACAGAGCTGCACAATCCCTGCTTTCAAGGAGCAGCCAGGTTTTACCCTCTCCAGGACATAACCTGTTTGCTCTCTTAAATTTTATTTTATTTCATTATTTTTTGTGTGTATACCGTCAAATCAGATCTGACTGATATAGGAGGAGATTGTTCGTCCTTCTCCAGCAGAGCATCTTGTGGATTCGAACTGTGTACCTCTGAGATTGCAGTGCAGCTTCTTGCCACTAGGCCACCAGAACTTGCCTACCTGTTTTCTCTCTTAGCAGTCCATGGTATGTTCAGTACTCTTCTCCAGCACAACAACTCAAAGGCATCTGTTCTCCTGTCATCCTTAGTCATTGTCAAGCTCTCTGATGAATAGCAAGTAATTGTGAAGACCATGGCCTGGATCAGGTGCACCCTTATTCTCCAGACTGACATTGTTGCTCTTCAGTGTTCTGCAGAGGTCCCTGACAGCAGAATTTCCAAGTGTCTTTTGATTTCCTGGCTGCTGGTACCAAGAGTGTTGATTGTGGAAGCAAGCAAGCTGAAGCTGTTAACAATCTCAATCTCTTCACTGTCTATCATTATGCTGCCAATTGGCCCAGTGGTGAGAATCTTTGTTGATGTTAAGCTTCAATCCGTATTGAAGGCTGCATGTAGTCATTCGTTGACTTTCTGCAGCAGAAAGAATTGGCTGACATAGAATTTCATGAAATAACATATGATCAAGAGCCTGTGGTGATAAAGGAGGAATTTCAAACTGCTCTGAAGGAATTGACAAAAAAAGCCCAGGAATTGATGACATACCAAGTTACATATTACAACAAATAGATGCTGTCCTGGACACACTCTACAGCTTGGGCCAGGAAATGTGGAGGGCAACTACCTGGCCAACTGACTGGAAGAGATCCATATTTGTTCCTATTCCAAAAACAGGTGACCCAACAGAGTATGGAAATGATCAAACAATATCATTAATATCACATGTAAGCAAGATTCTGCTAAAAATTATCCCAAAACGACCAAAACAGCACATCAACCGAGAACTGCTGGGTTTAGAAGAGGCTGTGACACTAGACTACGAGAGGAATGTCTTTTCTGTATTTAATTGCCTATGCAAAGGCATTTGACTGTGTGGATCACAACAAACAATGGTTAGTTCTGAGAAGAATGGGAATTGCAGAGCTCTTGATTGTGCTTATGCAAAACCTATACTTGAACCAAGATGCAGTTGTCAGAACAGAGTAAGGAAAGGCTACATGGTTCAAAATCAGAAAATGTGTACACCAGGGATGCATCTATCTCGATACCTTTTGCAGGCTATATGTTGAACAGGCCATCTGGGAGTCTGGGCTCTATGAGGAGGAATGTGGAATCAGGATTAGAGGAAGACTCATTAGCAACCTCTGTTACACAGATGATACAACCTTACGTGCTGAAACTGAGGACATATTGCAAAGAGTGGTTATGTCTTGGAGAGCGACATCTTCCTTGGATAGGTGAGATGGTGAAAGAGAGGAAGACCCTCAATCAGGTGGAGTGACACAGTAACTACAGCAGTGGGTTTGAGCATGTCAGAGCTTGTGAGGTTGGCATAAGATAGAACAGGGTTCAGATGTGTTTATAGGGTCACTATGAGTCATTCTCAATAACGATGACACCTAACGTCAATCTTTAAGAAAATGTGAGTTTTAGTGTTAGTTTCCTCTTCTCACTATCTCTGGGTCTCAGTGGGTCTCCCTAGCCTTTGCATAGGAGTAACTGTTTTAAGTAAAGTAAGTTGTAAAATGAGTGTAGACAGTGCAGGGATGACACGGTCTAACTCCTGCTAACTCCACAAAAGCGAACTTGGCCCATCAACCACATTGACAGTACAAAACCAATCCTTTAAGGCCAGACATGGTCTCCTACACTCCTGCACCTACCTCTGATTCCAGCATCAAATTTACTGCTGTACTAGCTCTGAAATCCATTGCAATGACCACACAGAACCATAATCACATTTATGGTGATATTAGGGAAATGAACCAGTTACAATGCAGGTTCACAGCAGGATATTATTCCTCAGTCCAGACAGTTTCTCATCCGTGTTTATAGGCCTTTGACTTTCAACCTCATGGCTTATGTCAGTGTCACAAAGTTTCCATAGTTCTAATTAATGGCATCATCCCTTATTGCTCAAGATTGGGTGAAGGCTCCCACTGCTGGTTCTGTGGGGCGGCAGCCCCAAGCCAGCTCTGTTGCTACTCTTGTAGATCCTTGATCTACACAGGAGTCTCCGGCCTGAAGGATGTCTTCTTCACTCCCTACTTCCCTTTCCTTGCTGAGATTCCTGCTGTCCTGCTAAGTCCACTCAGTTTAACTTGAATGGGAAAAACTGACCAATCCCATAATGATTACTTCTCATCTCTTACAAGCATGTTGTTATTAATGCTATTGAGTTGTGTGTAATTCATAACGACCCTATGTCCAGCAGCTCTGAAGCTGCCCTGTCCAGAGCCAGTCTCACTAATTCTGACACACCAACCCCATCTCATCTGGGCTCTTCTCCTCCTGCACTGCCCCTCTACCCTTCCGAGCATAGTGTCCTTCTCCGAGGACTGGTAAGCTCATGTCCATGTGCCCAAAGCATGTGTGAAATGGAGCTTCACAATCCTAGCCTCCAAAGAGAAACCTGGTTTCACCCTCTCCAAGATAGACCTATTTGTTTTCTTGGCGATCTGTTGTTTGTTCAAGACTCTCCTCCAGCACTACAACCTGAAGACATAGCCGTTGTCCAGCTCGCTAATGCATAGCAAGTAATTGCAAAGACCATGCATGGCCTGGATCAGGCTCACCTTAGTCTCTAGACTGACATTGTTCGCTGGTTTTTAGAGGAGAGGTACCTGACAGCATAGTCAAAGTCAATCAGTGACTAAGAAAACAATTTAGAGCAACAGATCCTTGACCTCCCAAAAGTTCATTCAGAATGTGGTTTCCTGGCTTCCACATGGGGAATCTCCACTGTTTGCAACGAGTTTGGTGGTATGGTCATGAGAGTGCTGCACAGGAGTATTGAAAGAGTATTTAAGCTGATTAAAGAACCAGGATATTTCCCAAACCAGCTTTCATTTATGATGTGGCATTAAAGTTCTCAATGCTGTTCTCTGCCCTACCCATCATAGCAGTTGGAATGGAGAGCTCTGCCCAGCCACTGTAATGATGGAAGAGGTGGTGTGTGGGTGGTGGGCAGCTGAGTGGTACACCCAGGTAGGAGGGTTGGGGAGTCAGGATCTCTGAGCTGTTGTCTATCTGGTAGTAAAGTCTCTCCTGTCAATACACTGCAGGTGTGTGCTAGGTAGTGGCCAACCTCGTGTCTCAGGATATGTAGCTTAGCTTGGAAACCACTGTTTATTTCCCCCTTATTTCATACAAGTCCATAGTGTTGGTGAGCCCACTCCCACAAAATTCTCTTGACTCTTATGTCCAAAGGCACTCACTTCGGGACATGTCCTGAGTTGTATTGCGGGCCCCACCCACCGCCTTTTCCACCACTAACAGTCTCTCACAGAGCTGGGGACTAATGCTCTGGGCACCTTCCCCAGCTCCAGAGGAGCATGTGGCACGGTTACAGCTCTCTGAGGAAGATCAGAGGGGCTGTCCTTGGCATTGGTGCGCTTATCTCGAAGACTCCTAGCTTCTCGAAACTCCTTTTCCCTACCCAAGACCCAGACTACAAAGCCAAGTGGTTCTCATTTTTATCTTCCCCAAATAGGTTATCAAAGACATTCATACTTGAAGGTGAGGATTTGTAAACTCAGCTCTATTTCGGCTTTTAAGCCCCCTGCAGGCAAGGGAGTAGATCACAATGACTCCTCCATACCCCTCCCTATCCTCAGGGCAGGTAGCACGTGAACAGTCCTGGGGCCAGAAGCCGGTTCACCCACATTCCTGGGTGAGTTACTGGATCGAGGGTGTGCCCGCCTCAGGCTCCTTAGGGGAGGCCCCCCTGAAGGGCTGGGGGAAATCCTACCACTAGAGACCTGGGCTTCCTGCCACCCTTAGCCCAGTGGAGGGGACCCAGGACAGAAGCAACCTGTGGTTTCAGAGACAAAGGAAGGAGGTAAGAGTGTCTGGGGTAGACTTTTCTAGTCCTAAAGCTATTGAATTAAAGAAGGAGTGTCTGTGGAGTTGGGGTAACTGCTGCAGGATCCTTTCCACTCACCAAGACCAATTCTACTATGGATCACCCCCAGGGCTATAGATGTGCCTCAAGTATGAATCAACCCATGGCTGACCCTCTAGCAGGTTTTCAGAGGCAGTCTAATTGCACGGGAGGAGATGTCTTGTTTTTCTCCCTATAGATTTGAACCACTTGCCTTTGGGACTGAGCACAGTTTCTTACCACTAGGGCCACCACAATTCCACAACAACAACTATGACAACAACATCTGTGGAGTTGAGGGCAGGAAATGCTGCAGGAACCTTTGCATCCACCAAAACCAGTTCCACTATGGGTCATCCCCAGGGCTGTGGGTGGCAGTGGACTGGAAAGAAAGATTCCTCACAATAGATGCGTAACAACTAGATCTGGAGGGAGTGGAAAAACAATAACAAAAACAACAACAAAAGTATGCATGAATGGAATACTTAAAAAAAAAAATCAAAACAACAACCCACAAATACCCCCAGACCTAGATCTGGAGGGTTTTAGAAATTCAGTCCAACCACCATCCTCACTTTACAGATGGTAGAATAGGTGCAGTGTCTACCCAAAGACCACAGAGTGTGGAAGCCCTGTGACTCTGCCTGCCTTCACACCGTTAACCCCATCCTCAGGGTCTCAGAGGGACTCTTAGGACCCTAATGTAGGGTGGGTCCATCGAAGGGCTTACACACAGGGAACTCCTGTGTGGGCAGCGAAAGAAGAATTCAGAAGCCTGGAGGAATATGGCACAGGGAAGCACACAGTTTTGACCATTCAAACCTGGGATATAACTCCCCACCCCTAAAATAGGGATCATTGTACATACCTTATTGAGTTGGCTTGGGGTTTTTGTTGGGTGGCAGGGGTTTGTTTGGAGAATGTGGCAGAATCTGCCTGCTAATAATAACTGTTGTTATGTGCCGTCGAGTCGCTTGCGACTCATAGCGACTCTATGTACAACAGCCCTAAACTCCGCTCTGTCCTGTGCCAATTGCACTGTCTCTGACACTCCCATCCCAATTATCCCAGTCACTGAATCAATCCACCTCATAGAGGGCCTTCTTCTCCTGCGCTGTCCCTCCACCCTCCCAAGCATGATGTCCCTCTCTAAGGACAGGTCTCTCCTCACAACATGTCCAAAGTATGTTAGACGGAGCCTCAGAATCCTTGCCTCCAAGGAGCCATCCGGTTTAACTCTTTCCAGGACAAATCTGTTTGTTTTCCTAGCAGTCCATGGTATTCTCAATACTCTTCTCCAGCACCACAGCTCAAAGGCATCAATTCTCCTTCTATCCTCCCTGGTCATTGTCCAACTCTCTGATGCATAACAAGTGATTGTGAAGACCATAGCCTGTATCAGACGCACCTTAGTCTCCAGAGAGACACCATTGCTATTAACAACAAATCCATGATGATATTAAATAATGACCCATTACCCGTTCCTTTTTTAATGTTTTAACGACATAGTCCACTAGAGGGCAGCAGACTGGCAGCAATAACGGGGAATGTGTGAACTGGTGATTAGATGGGGGGGGGGGTCAGATAGAAAGATATAAACAGATCTGTGTGATTCTTGCCCCTCCAGCCACAGAAGGCTCCATCAGGCTCAGAACATCTGACCAGAACCAGATCTCCCTGGAAGTGACTACAGCAACCTTGTTGGGTGAACGGGGTGCAGAGGAGTGTGCCAAGACCTTAGCCCCAAAATTGATACGAGAAGTGGGCCCTGTGACTGGGGACCAGGGGAGCTGGGGCTAGGCTGGTTCTCCTCCACTAGCCTCTGTAGAACCCTGGGTGTATGGGCGAAATCCACAAACCTCAGTAACTTCTCCCTGTTAAGTCCCTCTGTCCTCTGATCTCCAGACATTCATGGGCTAAGAGGGAGTTCCTGGGTGGTACAATTGTTTTAAACTGCTGCACAAAAGGTTGATGGGTCCAGACCCATTTGAGGAATTTCAGAAAACAGGAGGTCTGCTTCTAAAAGGTCACAGCACTACTCTGTGCAGGGCTAGGGGCGGAGGGGCTGTGAAGAATCAGAACCCACCCAACTACACAGCCTTAGGACCCAGTTCAGCCAGAGGTTCAAACTAACCCACCTAACTTGCCCCTCCCTAACCAGCACTGGCCCGACCCCTGGAAGGAATGTCCTGCGATGAGTGGCCGAAAGCCCAGATGCCCACCCAGGTGACTCTCCCGCCACTCTCTCGGGCCAGTGCCCTGTGCCCAACCCCAGAGGGTGTGGGATTACAGACTCTGACAATCATTAAACCAGCCGGGCCTGATTTCCCAGCACCTCCTGCTAGGATCCGGGCCAAGTGGCACATAATATGCAAATCACCTGGGGCCAAGAGCCCAGTCTAAAGGCCAGGAAATCCCCTCTGTCCAATGAGCCACCAGCTCAGGTTACCTCTGGGAAACACACTATAAAGGCTCAGGTAGGGGAGGAGCTTGTGCCGTATTTAGGCAGGTACGCGCGCCAGGAGGGCCAGCCAGACGCCCGGCACTACCTGGTGAGCCTTTTGCCGGGAGGAGTGTTGCCGCACTTTTAGACTGCCAGTGTGCCTTGCCTGCTAGCCTCGTTGGCACCCCTGCCACACTGGTAAGAGCCCTCATCTACCTGAGGGGGCAGGTTGAGGAAGGGTTCTAGTAGTACAGTTCAGAACCTGTCCACCCAGCTCTGTGATCTAAAATCTTGAGCCGGGCCGCTGGCGATGGTCAGAGAGTAGAGTGATGGTTTCTGGAGGGGCCAGGGTAACCCTGACCCTGCTGCTGGTTTCACTTGGGGTCCCAGGTGAACTGAGGAGGGAGCCTTAGCAGGGGTATTCTTCTCCCCTCACCTTGTTCTTGGACTTTGAAGCCCTTCTTAAGAGAGGGTGCCACAAGAGATGTCTACCTTGTTGCCCAAGTAGATTCCCAAGGTGGTGGCTTAGCCCAGACCACTGCTAGGCAAGGACCCGGAGCCTCATCCACCTCACCTCCTCCCCACAGGTAGCTTCATGGCTGCAACCTGTGAGATTAGCAACATTTTTAGCAACTACTTCAATGCCATGTACAGCTTGGAGGACCCCACTGTGGTGTGTGCTCCCACTGGGGCCACGTTTGGGACGGAGGACCTGGTGCTGACCCTGAGTAACACACAGATGCCTCCGGAGGGTACAGGTGAGTTTCGGGCACGATGATGGGGTGAAAGAGCCATTGGAGTATCTATGTGAGAAATGAGGAATTCTTCTGTGGGGTAGGAGGTCAGGAGCTGGAGTGTGGAGCTGTGAATGTTAGGGCTACTAAGTTCACATTCTGTCCCGTCCCCTCGAAAGGGTCACATGGGAGTGGGCAGGTACTCTTAGAGTCTGTTCACTTTTGCCAGATAGGCACTGGGAGAGGGCTTAGAAACCTACGGGTTGGCCCACGTTGACCCCATTGCTGTCCCTTGTAGAGAAAGCCAGTTGGTGGGGGGAACAGCCCCAGTTGTGGTCCAAGGCCCAGGTCCTGGACTGGATCAGCTACCAAGTGGAGAAGAACAAGTATGACGCCAGCTCCATTGACTTCTCGCGGTGCAACATGGACGGCGCCACGCTGTGCAGCTGCACCCTGGAGGAGCTGCGCCTGGTGTTCGGGCCCTTGGGGGACCAGCTCCATGCCCAGCTGCGAGACCTCAGTGAGTCCCTCCTCCTGGAGCCGAGGGGTGCAGGAATTGGGAGGGCTGGGGCTGGCTTTTCTCCAGTCCTTCTCAGGGCAGCTGGGAGGAATTTAACATGGCGATGGGAAGGACCCAGGCTGAGGGCGCAGCCGGAGAGGAGGCCAGAGGGCATGGTGCCGCAGGCGGGCTCGTTGCCGCAGGCGGGCGCGTTGACTGCTTTGCCTCCCCTGACAGCCACCAACTCTTCTGACGAGCTCAGCTGGATCATTGAGCTGCTGGAGAAGGACGGCATGTCCTTCCAGGACACCCTTGGAGAACCGGGCTCCTTTGGTGAGAATCCACTGCCTCTTTGCTACTCCTAGACTTCTTCTTCCCCAGTTAGAAAGTTACCTACAAGGGCAACTCTTCAGGCCTGTGGGTAGCTGCCCATGTTCTGCTCGATCATCCCTTAAATTCTCTCCTCCCAGAACAGGGAAGCCCCTTCGTCCCGGAGATGATGGAGGACTGCTCTTACTACCCTTCTCCTGGCAGCTCAGATGTTTCCACGGCAGGTGAGAGCCTTGCCTGGTGTACACCACCTTCCCCAACCTGGGCCCCTTAGGCCCCAGGGCCAAAAAGGAGCCTCAGCTCCATGTATGCAGTGGCCGGCTCAGCACATATCATGGCCTCACCCCATCTGCCTCCCCCAGGCACTGGCACGCCTCAGAGCTCACACTCAGACTGCGGTGGGAGTGATGTGGACCAGGATCCCGCGGACAGCGGCAGGCTCTTCCCCGGAGGTGAGTCTACAGCAGCTCCCGGCCCCAGAGGCATCCTCACTGGGCAGCATCCAGGCTCCTGTGGCCGTACTGCTCCACCACTGTCCCCCCGTTAACAGACCACCTCTGTCCACACAGACGACTTCACGGGCTATGAGAAGGGGGCCAAGCACGGGAAGCGAAAGCGGGGCCGGCCCCGAAAGGAGAGCAAGGACTCCCGGGAGTGTGTGGAGGGCAAGAAGAGCAAGCATGGTGAGCTCCAGCGGGCTGGCTGCAGCACTGCCGGCCGTCCTCGCTCTGGTCTCTCCTTGGGGGTGTTTGCAGGCTAACAATCGGGCACCTCGTTGCACAACCTGCTGGGGGGGCCGTGTGTTCCTGCAGCAAAGGGAAACAGAAGCCCCTTTCTTTATCCTACCTGCTGGGACACCTTGGTAGTTTGTGCAGGGGAGGGCCAGGCATGCCAAACAAGAAGCAGGAGCAGGATCTGGAAGTAACTTGCCCGCTGAATCCCTTGCTTGTTGATCCCAAAAGAGGATCCCGGTAGCCACTAAGCTAGCTGTCCCTATTGACCTGAGTTCGCAGGGATCTGGCCACCTGTGAGCACTCTGCAGGCCAGCCCACCGGAAAGTGGCTGCAAAGCTCAAGGGTCTTTTGCTGTTGTTCAGCCAACTGCCCCACCAATTGCCCCTCACGCATACTAGGGCCAGGCTCTTTGTTACCTCCTTGTTTTTTCAAGGGGGCCTGTGTTCCAGGAGACTGACCTCTGGGCCGTCAGGCTGGGCCAATTCTTTGCTGTTTATACTTGCCAGGACAGCTCTTAGCCACCACCTGGTGTATTTATTATTTTTTGTTTTTTCCAACCATGTTTCCCCTTTCCCTTCTCCCACTCCTCTGAGCTCTCTTGGGTACTATTGTGCCTCAGTTAAATGTTGGAAGCATGTCGACCGCGTCTCCGGTGGGAGTTTCTCTCTAAAGGGGAGGGAAGCAGCTGATAGATGTGGCCAGGTGCTCCACGTGTCAGGCATTTAGGATGCAGGTGCTGGGCTGGGCAGAGCTAGTGGGAGGGGACACAGTCCGGACACCTGGCCCAAGACTGAGGATATCTGACCTTACAGCCCCCAGAGGCACTCACCTGTGGGAGTTTATCCGGGACATCCTCATCCACCCTGAGCTCAATGAGGGCCTCATGAAGTGGGAGAACCGACACGAGGGTGTCTTCAAGTTCCTGCGCTCTGAGGCCGTCGCCCAGCTTTGGGGCCAAAAGAAAAAGAACAGCAGCATGACCTACGAGAAGCTGAGCAGAGCCATGAGGTGAGCTGGTGACTGGGGTCCCCCATGCCCTGGGTGGACACCTGGGGGATTCAGGGCAGTGATGGGCAGAAGGGACAGTGGCATTTGAGTGCCCATCGCCTTCTCCCAACCACTAACTTGCAAGTTTGGAGAATAGCCATGGCTTCTAGCTAATTCATGGAGTCCCTGGATGCTGCAAATGGTCAGTGTGCTTTTGTCTGCTAACTGAAAGTTGGAGGTTTGAATCTCTAGATCCCTAGAGGCAACTAGGAAGAAAGGCCTGGAGTTGTACTGTTCTCACCGTTAGCCATTGAGAACCCAGTGGAGCACACACATGGTTTGCCATGAGTTAGAATCGACTTGATGGCAACTGGTGGTTGCGACTTCATGTGATTACATGGCAACAGGGAAAAAGGGTTTATCCTGGCACAGAAGACCAAAACCCAAAACTCAAAGCAACCCTGTACCCCTCCACTGAGTTTCCAAGGCTCACGAGGAGTCATTTTTTTCCTCTCAGAGCTCCTGGTGTATTCAAACTGCTGCCCTTTGAGTTAGTGTGACAGCACCTTAGACATAGTACCAGTGCTCCTTGGCACACAGAAAGCCTGCAGGAAATGTCAACTGTTATTATGTGCCGTTGGAACTGACTTGAGTTGACCTGGGTCTTTGGAGGCTGTAAATCACATGTAAAGAGATGGCCCATCTTTCTTCTGAAGAGCAGCTGGTGGATTGGAACTATATGCCTTTGGATTGACAGCACAGTCTCTTACCACTAGGCCACCCAAGCTCTCTTAATATCAGCTGGCAGTAATATTTCTTCGGCCTGTCTGCAGAAAGGCACCTAAGACCCTGGGAATAGCATTTGCTACAGTTTCCAGACCATGTTTAAGCCGTGGTCTAAGGGAATCAGCTAAAAAAAAACAGTCCTCACTTGGGAATGTCAGAGATTGTGAGGATGGCGCAGGATAAGGCAGGGTTCAGATCTGTTTATAGGGTCTCTATGTGTCAGACAGCTAGCTCTTAATGACTCGCACTTAACAACTGTTCAAGCAATTAGCAGCTTCTCTGGGCTTTGCTTTCCCGCTTGTGCACAAGGGTGGTCCCCCTCTCCCTGTAATACACGGTGTCTTGACACACCCTAGGACACAGTTGTAAATTACAAAGGGAAGAACCAGGTAACCTTTTCTAGAACCAGACACAACTATACTGTGGAGTAGATAGCTCCTTTGCAGGGTGAGGCAAAGCTTCCTGAAGACAACTGTAGTGGGTCAGGGGCAGGTTAGTCAACTTAGGAGACCAGCAGGGGACAGTTCACCTGAGGCTACTCTGGGGCAGGTGAGACATACCAGCATTCCAGGACGTCTTCCCTGCCTGAGACCACCCTGGCTCTCTTTCCAGGTACTACTACAAACGGGAGATTCTGGAACGAGTGGACGGACGGCGGCTTGTCTACAAGTTTGGCAAAAACTCCAGCGGCTGGAAGGAGGAAGAAGTTACTGGGAGTCGGAACTGAGGGTCAGAATTAGACCCAGGACTAAATTTACGGACTCCAAGCCTGCTGCCCTCCTCGGAGGACAGCGAGCCCGGTGGCCACCGTTTGAACTTAGTCCCCTCGTGCTTCTGAGGAGAGAAGCTGAAGTGTTGGTTCAATGTCAACCATTACCCTGGGATCTGGGGGCCTGTGGTCAGTTTTTTCTACCCTCCTCTCGGAATTACAAACCTTGAGGTCTGACGAGGTCTCTTAACTACTGGTTCAATGCTCCTTTTATCTGGTGCCTCCTCAAACTCAACCCCAGACACTAGCTGCAGACATCAGACTGAACGCAGGAGGCAAGGAGGCATTGTGAGAGCACCATGAGGAAGAGGGACGGGGGTCGTCGGAGCCTCCCATGACCTCCTGTCTCTGTGCATGGACACCACTGGTGGGGTCAGAGCGCTCCTAATTTATGTGCTGTTATACCAGGTGTACATAGAGAAGTATTTTTTTCTAAGACAGTCCCCTCTCTGCTCCTAGCTCACCAAGCTGAGCCAGTGAGAAGCGGGGTGATGCCAAGGTCCAGAGGTGGGGCTCCTGGCTCCTTTGTCTTGTGGATGGAGTCAGACTTCCAATAAAATCCTTTTTTAAATTTTTTTTTTTAACCTCTGTCTTAGTTCTCTGTGTCCTGAGTGTAGGCCTCTGGCTTGGATGGTATGGTGGAAGAGATGAAGCTGGGCTGACGATGAAGGCAGAGGCCGAGCAAAGAGGGTAGTAGGAGGGCTGGGCGCACAGACACAATAGCTGGGCTGGGAGATGAGCAAAGCAAACAGCTCCAGCTTCATGCAAGCAAGGATGTGAGCCTAGGAAGCCAGGAACTAGGGTCTGGTCCTGCTGACACCACATGTTGTCTCTGTTACCTTGGCCAACTTGTCCCTCACCGTTAATGCAGGGACTGGATCCAGTGTTTTCTAAGAAGTCTAGAATTGCTTGTCTGGCCTTGTGGATGGATGCTTTTGTGTTCCAGCCAAGCTGGTTGTAAACTGAACGCCTGTAATACGAGCCCTAGCTTTCGTTGTCTGACATGAAATCAGAGTTATGGTCTTGTGCAGAGAAAAATGGAGATGAGGAAGCAGTTGACATGTGCCAAGCGCAAGATGCCACTTGCTTTGTTCAGCTTCCCAAGAAGGAAGAGTTAGTACTCCTGTTTGACCCAAGCAGGAACTGAGGTTCCATAGGGACAGCGGCCTGGTCAAGGCCACGCAGGCAGTGGCTGGTCTACGCATTCATCTCTGGAAACTTTTCCTGGGTCAGGTCTTTTTTTTCTCTAGTATTTATTAAAAAGGAAGAGAGATACTACTAATTGTATAGAGACAAACAGGCAGCTGCATGAAAGGTACAGATAATACAAATTTTCTGAAAAGTGAAAAATTTCTAATTATAAAAAGATCATTGGTGTTTTCCAGGTAAGTCCTTCTGAAAAGTTTATGGGGCTTATATGACCAGATTTATTTGGTTTCAAAAGTTCTCTGTCACTCAAGAAAGGTGAGCTCCCTTCCCCCTTCTGTATAATTCAGATACAGACCTTAATTTTTTTAATTTTTTGGGGGAGTTAAAAAAATAATATATATATGTAATATTAATATTAGTGATATGTATAATATCATATATAATATATATTCATGTAAATGAATATATATTAATGAAAGTTTACAGAGACTTTGGATTTTCAGTCATTCATTATTGCACAATTTCCTCTCTGCCCACCCCTTCCCTCCAGTTTGTTTTTCTCTTTGAAGAGTAAAAAAAAATTCTTTCATTGTTATACAATCCCCCTCCCCCAGTTCAATTCACTATGCAGCTTTCCTTCTGGACTCTTGTCATGACAATACCTAATCATATATTTCTCCTAAACAGTTCTCTCCCTCATCTATTTCAATGCAGTATACATTATTTATCCCCTCTTAGTTTCCCCCAACTCTGATGTCAGACCCACTTTACAACAGTGGCTGTATGCAGTATTTGTCCTTTTGTGACTGAGATACTTCTCTCAGCATAATGTCCTCAGGGTCACCCATTTTGTATAATATTTCATGGGTTCCTTGTTTTTCAGTGCAGCATAGATTTCCATTGTGTGAATATAACAGAGCTTCTCTACCCATTCGTTTGTTGGTGGACACTTGGGTTGTTTCCAACTCTTTGCTATTGCGAACAAAGCCACAATAAACATGGATGTGTATATATCTGCTTGGGTGACAGTTATGGTTTCCTTGGGGTATATTCCCAGTAGCAGAATTGCTGGGTTAAATAGTATTTCCATTTCCAACTTGTTGAGAAAGTGCCATACTGCCTTCCACAGTGGTTGCACCATTTTACACTCCTACCAACAGTGAATAAGAGTTCCAGTTTCTCCACAACCTCGCCAGCATTTGTTGTTTGCTGCTCTGTTAAATTTTGCTATTCTTACTGGGGTGAGATATCTCAGCTGTTTTGATTTGCATCGCTCTTAGAGCTACGGATTTTGAACATTTCTTCATGTATTTGTTGGCCATCTGAATGTCTTCTTTGGTGAAGTGTTTATCCATGTCCTGTGCCCATTTTTCAATTGGGTTATTTTCTTTTTTCTTCTTGTGCTGGGTCAGGTCTTTTCTAACTCGATTCCTAGAAGATGCCAGAACTGTGTGTGCTATCTTGTTTCCACAGTGATGAGCTCGCCTAGGACGACTTAAGAACTTTCAGATTCCACAGAGCATGTTAAAAAAAGAGCATCTGGCAAGTTTGACATGCTGTTCATTTGGTTTAGAAAGAACAGATCATTTGCTGAAGGGATGCGGGTAAAGAAGGGATCTTGAAGGCTGCTTGTACGTGTGTGGGAAACAGGTTTACCCTGGAGAAGCAAGGATTAGAGGGAAGGAAAAAGTAGGAATGTTGGCTGGAGGCAGTAACAGGACCATGAAAGAACATACACTTGAGCAATTTTGGAAGATGGTGTCTCTGAAATTTTGCCTTCTGAAGTGTGAGTGGGTTAGCCCAAAGGGCATCTGGTTAGCAGCATATGATTTAGCTTAAAAGCCTGGCTCCTGTCCTGGCTAGGCCAGCCAGGGACACTTAGGATAATAACAACCATCATTTTTTGAATATGTGTTTGGGATTGTGTTGATTTCTGTGTATATTAGCTTGGGATCCTCACACCAGAAGAGGTTCCCTGTGTTTTTACTGTCACCTGGCTAGATGTGTGTGGTGATACTTTGGGACCCAGGGCATATTTGCTGAACCCCCTTGAGCCTCAGTTTCTTTTGCTCTCAAAATAGAGATACTATTGAATTATACTTGGTAAAATAGAATGGTAGAAAAAGACCCTTAACACAATGCTCAGATGAGGGAATGATGGTGAATGACTGGGCAGTGCTTCATTCTCTTGTACCCAGGGCCGATGTGGGTCAGAAGCAACTTGAGGACATCTAAAAACAACAAGAGACAAACACAGGGCACACATAGAGGAGGAGGTCTGAGAATATGGGGCCCAGTCCCTTAGTCCTCTGCCAAAAGGCCGGGAGGCAGCTGCTCGGCCCAGCATTCTGCTCTGACCTTTGTCCTGCTGTTTTCCGTTTATGAGGCGCTTTCCTCTTCCCACTATCGCATTCGATCCACACCACAGCCCTCTGAGACTGAGTGTCCTGACTTCACTGCGGCTTGTGGCTGGCCCAAGGTCACCAGCCCGCGGAGAGTAGTGACCAGACCCAGGACTCCTGTCCCAAGCCCAGCTCTGGCAGCAACACCCCCACCCCGCTGTGCACGCTGGAAGGCTGTCTGCGAGAGGGCAGCTTAGAGAGTGGGGTAGTCCCCAGAAAGGACTGATTGTTACTCTCAAGACTTGACTACTAGTGCTGCCCTCCCCCTCCACCTCTGCTGGGCTACCCACAAGTCCACAGCAAGCCCAGACTCCCCAAGCTAGCCTTCCCCAGCCCCAAGTGCCCTATCAGGTGCCAGCCATCAGTCACCCTTACCACCAAGTGTCACCAGCTCAGGAGTCTCTGAATGGACTACCATGCAGAAATGGAAGTGGAGGGGTTTGGGGACTCCTGTCTCTCACCCAAAGTTTTTGTCCCCTGTGGTGTGACCTGGACTGAGTGGGGAGGGCACGGGGCTAGGCTGTTAGATCGTGTCTGAGCTGCTGGCCACCTCTTATCTGCTTCTGTGGGGTTGGGTGTGTTGCTGTGCAGTTCAGAGGGAGGTCACCCTTCCCGTGTTTGGGTGTGCCTTCTGGGGGCTGGGCTTGCTGCCCAGGCCTCCTGTCTGCTGCCTCCCCGGGACAGTTCCCGGATTTTCCCCGCAGCCCCACCCCTTCCACCTAATTCAGGAGAAAGCTTGCTTCACCTGCGCTCAGTTGAGTGAGTAAAGTGGCTGTTTTTATTAGGGGGCTATTTCAATCTGCCCACTTACTCCAGTTGTTTGTTTACATGTCCCGCTCCCCTACAAAGTAGTGAGCACCTCTGGGCAAGGACTGGGGCTTACTCATCTCAGCACCTTGTTGCAGCACCTGGCACAGAGAGGGTGCTTGATAAATATTTGTGAAGCTGCCCTGTGACTCCTGGCCACCGCCTCCCAATACTCTCACACCACATACTACACACACATTCACACAACGGTTCACCACCTTCACATGTACCACACATATTCACATACACACCCTCACAGGAACCAGCTCACCACAGCCCACACAGCCTTACCCACTCTCACAGAGTCCCAACCTCTCACTGTGGATGAAATTTAGACGACTCACTCCACCTAACCCTTAATTTGTATCATTCACCTCCTTGGAACTCCCAGTATCTCACCTTTCTTTCAACCATTCCCTGACCATCTTTCTGCTCTTATCTGCCACCAGCTGGGCTCAGCCATGGTCTCAGGTGGCTGAGACCCTTCTGGCCACTGCTTGACCCTGAAGTCAGGAGAGGCACGGGATTTGCAGGGCCAAGTAATCCTTTGCCACTGGGTTAATTCCAACTTGAAACCACTCTCCACTGCGTTTCTGAGTC